TGAAAAGTCAAAAACGTTTTGAAAAAGAAGATGAAAAATAATTTTGAAATTTAGGATACATAACTCTCAAAATATTCAAAATTTGAAAAATCCGAGACAACAGATTGATAGCAGAGTGAATTCTGAGTCCTCTCATGCAAATAGATTGGACCTAACTTAACAACTGAGCTCTTGAGAGCGATTGACGTAATTCAATGTTTTGCGCCGACATCGGCCGAACATGACGTCACTCTGACGTCATGTTCGGTTGACCTATGGTAGCTACGAAGTTTTTATTTTGACACAATGCGTAAAATTGATGAAGAAGAGGTACTATAAGTTTCGCGTCGATTCGTTTAGCGGTTTAGAAGTTATTGCAGAAAAAGAGAGGGGGCGGGTTAATCAGACATATTTTCGTAAGGGTTCTGTGCTGTTACTTTATTTAAAGTTCTGGGGCTTCTTCGCCTCAAGATTCGGAATACCGTTATGACAAGCTGAGAACAAAAGCTCATATGCCAACCATAAGTTTCGCATATTGTCGTGTAAGCTCCCAAACACGTATATTTACAACTGCCAGTGTCAACCTTATCTAAGGCGCCTAACGCTAGTGTCAGACCACCTGTTACATACACCTTCTGCAGCAAAAAGGACATTGGCGGACAGCAGCGCCTTCAAGGGCAACAGCCCACGGTCTACCCCGTTATCAATGCCACGCTGCCGGCGTCTTCGGTGGCGCCCTCGACCGACGCGATGGCAGCCCTTTTCCTGAGCGGCGATTCTTGGCACGCGAGCCGGCGCGACATTCGATGCACGAGCGACGGTGCCGGCCGGCGCGTGCATGGGGTATCCGTGTCCGAGGGTCGGCAGTGTCCTGGATCGGTCACGCGAACCGGTTCGCTGGGCACGGGCTGCTGAAGGACCGGCCTACGGGGCTGTCCGCATGGTGAAACGGTCCCGTCGCCGCGCCGGTATATGTATGAGTGTCACAGTTCCGCTTACACCTACATCGCTAATTCTATCAGCGACATAGAGCCATCAAAGCGGCCATTGAACAGAAAATGATACCATTTGGATAAATGTATCCGATTTTATAAGTCATATTGAAGATGGTGAAGTTGAAAACCTCTGAGACATCCAAGGTCACAAATACCGCTGCACAGCCCCACTGAACTATTGCATGGCTGTCATATCCAGTAGCCACTAGGATATGCTCAAAATGGTACTGTTCGGTTGACGTCATGATCGATGTATGAGAAGTGAAAGCATCCTACACCACACATAAGGCATTGGAGACCTACGGCATTGGCGCTGCACAGTGCACATCGCCTTCAAACAACCTTTTTACCTTAACCCTCGCCCTGGCAGGGGGGGGGGGGGTCGATGCGACCCCCCTAAGGTTTTTCGAAGATAGCGTAAAAACGGCGGCGCGCAGTGCCGCCAAAATTGGCACAACTTATGGGGCAGTCTTTTTACATATGATTTGAAAATTTCAGGTCCGGGTGACCTTGGGTCAGGTCACCAGGTCAGAAAAACCGGTACAAGGTCATGGTCAAATATCAATTTTCTGTTTACACCTGTCCAACTCACAGTTTTGGACTGATTTCCTTCAAACTTTCAGGATGTGCTAAGTTCACCGAGTTGTATAACATATAGTTCGGTTTTTTTGAGGTCACTGACCTGAGGTCAGTTAGAGGTCATTACGACGTAATGTTAAGCCTATGGGAAAATACTAAATTTGGAAAATACTGCAGATATCCGCATCGTTCTATCACTTTTGTGCTTTGAAACCACAGTACTTAACAGCAGGTCACTTGGTGCTTCTTTGTTTGGTGTACTTATCCATGGGTCAGGTCAAATGAGGTCAACTGAGGTCAAATGACGTTTTTGCCAATAACTTGGCACATAATGACGCTAGAGCTTCAAAATTGATATCAATGTGTTCCTGGTGATCAGCCGAATTGAATGATATGCGATATGATGCAATTTGGTTAACTTGAACTTTATTTATTAATTTAAGTTTACTTAGAATTTAAGAAAAACTTTAAGTACACTTAACCAAGCTAAAAAGTACATCATTCGACGCGCCTTGACGTGCTGAGTTCACTGGTGCTTTTTTTACTCTATCTTAATTAGATTAAAAGTTATAAGCGAAAAAACTTTTGACCTGTTTTTAGCGAAATTTTTACATTTATACCCCCCAAGGCCCAAAACCCCCCTAAATATTTACCTAGAGCAACCAAATTTGCACAGGGGCGAGAACTCCAGGGGGCCCATCTACCTACCAAATTTGGTGTTTCTAGGTGCCATAGGAGCCAATCGCGAGGGGGGGTCGCATCGACCCCCCCCCCCCTGCCAGGCCGTGTTATGAAAAATGCCCTGCCAGGGCGAGGGTTAATGCATGTGCTAGGTTGCGATGATAACGCGCTAAGAGAGCCGAGAGGATTCATAAATAAAAAGATACCCTACGAAGTGAGTCAAATGGAACACATCTTCACCACTCAGGTTAAGCGTTGTTGAATGACATAGAATGCCAGAAAGTACAGCGGTATTTGGTTACTGTAGTATGTGCATTGTGCACTGCAGCATAAAATGTGCCTATATGATAGCCGTTTTCACGACGGCCATCTGGTACACATTTGGTGCACATCTGGTGCAGATTAGGTGCAGATTTGGTCAAATTAGGTTCAGTGTGTCTCTCAGTAGCTATCAGCTAGGGTTGCACTAATGGCTTATATGCCTGCTTTGTCATATTATCTGAGAGTATCATCGATTATTTTATGAATTTATTTCAGTGTTTTAATATTTAATAAAATAAGATATTTAATAATAAGATTTAATAATATTTAATAATAAGATATTTGCTGTAAAAGAGATTTGGTGCAGATTTGGTCAAATTAGGTGCACTCGCCGGATAGCCCGCCGTGAAAACGGCTAATATGTGTAGCAACGCATCATGCCGCCTTTCTTTAATGCTACATAGGTATTTAGAGCGACACAGTGCCATTTGATTGATGCTATAGTGAATGTGAAACAGTGCACAGTGAAAGCAAACGAACCGGGCGATGGTTTCTATATAGTGAACTGCTGTTCATTAGACGGAAGTCTGATAGCGTGCTTGGTGAAACGTTTCGTGATCGGAGACGATGATTCATGCTATTATTATAAGATTATTGTAGAAAACATTGTATTTGTTCAAAAATCTGTTTTGTTTAGTGTAGAAAGGAGCAGAACATATTCCTTATGTTCTGTCGTATAATGTTGACACATCATTGAAACATTCACACTTAACACTTTCCTATTATTCAATAAATAGGAAATTTACACTAAATCTATGCTAAAGGTACGTACTTAAACGTATTAAATGCTACCGGAAGCCGCTTACCAAGGGACGAACTCTTTTAGAAATGCGTAAAAATACAACGAAGTGCAACAGACCATCCTTTTCCTGTAGCAGATAGCATTTATTCACAAACAAACAGGCAAAGACGATGACGAGGGGAATGGTCAAATTACATTTGGTGTTGAATATCTTCGCAATGTGATCCTTTTAACAAACATTATGGGCGTCACACTTTGACTTAAGCTCTCTGATGCATCTGTTGCCTGGTTTCACATTACCTCGTAGGGGAACCGATGACCGTCACGCAATGTGGCTAGCCACGGCGGTCACATTGAAAAGTTGACAAACAAACTGCCAGTTTCCTGCGACCATCAAAGTCCCGGATGTGGGACACTATTCTGTTTAAAAATAGGTTGGCGCCGCACACAGGAGTATCGGTTTCACTATGGGCCGTCGACATTCCTGCCTGCCCACGAACCTCACGCCTCGACAGGTGAGGCATAGTGTATTATGCTCTGCAAAAACGGCCCATTCTGTTTAAATAAATGTTACAGAGAACCCACATGCAGCTGATGATGAGTATATAAGTACATTTAGACAGTTCAGAAGACAGAACCGAAATAGCTGTCTTCTCCGATTCAGGTTCAGCTTTGAGACGTTAGTGTTCAATGTCCATCACTGCTACATATGCTCATTTCGTATAGGAAGTTTCCTTTTTTATTAACAGCTGCACACCTTTACGCCCTTTTCGGTTGGCCTTTTTCAAGAGAGCATAAAACATGAACAAAAAAGAAAAAGAGTATAGACGACATCTGTACCTACTAATTTCAAGAAAATAACTCATATAATATTCATTGGTGCTGCCAAGTGTCATTTGCGTGCACTAAACGTATCCGGCCTCGGCCCTACCTCGGTTAGCTTGGCTAGCTTAGTTGCTATGCTTATCGTCTCAAATTATGACGGAATAAAACGCTCATATTTAGTGTTTGCTAGTGCATGGTGTCTGCTCATGATGTGGTTCATCATTTAATTCGCCGATCAACTTAAACATTTGTTAAGTATGTAAATTTGAAATGTGAATTCAAGTGCATTCAGCAGTGGGATTAGGAATGGTTCAATACGACAAATATTTTCCTGGAAAATTGATGCTACGTTATGAAACGTGTTATCGCGCAGTGGTATTTTCCTCTCATCGTTTTATTAATTATGTGGCGCGTAAGCGACCTAAAACAAAGTGACCATGCTATGTCCTTCCACTAGTTTCTGTTCCCTCTTTAGCTCCTTTTCTAGGCGACGTTTTAATCCACCCAGGTATACTATTATCTATCAACTGCATCAATGACACGATGTCGCGTGCAATCAAAAACTGGGCAGCGCTTCCACCAAAATATGCTATCGCCGGCGATCCGACCATCACTTTCCTGCTGGCCGCTGCCGCCATGCAATGGTCAGCTTTCGACTGGTTTTCACCATGCTCTGACGTCCATTTTTTACCGGTCGCACCGAAAAACTATAAAGCCGCCCTTTCCCGAGCCGGCCAGGTTTGCACCGTTGCACCGCTTAAAGGTGTCCCCGAAGCCGGCGGCTCGCAGTCCGCTGGAAGGGCCGCTAGCGCGCGAGCAGTCGCGCCCGAGGTCAGTGAGGAGCGCAGCGCAGCGGAGCCGCCGCCCGATCCGGCACCATGCTGCCGTGGTGGTACGTCATCATAGTGCTGCAGTTCTGGCCGATGGACGCGCCGTCCTATCTGTGGAACTACGACGAGCCGGAGCTGTGGCAGGAGACGTTCCCGCTGTGCGACTCGCCGCTGCAGTCGCCGATCGCGCTGACTCGAGACCGGATCGCCTACTCGCGGCCGCCCAAGCTGGTGCCCGGAGACGGTCTGGCCGAGGGTGAGGTCACGGCCATCAACACGGGCCGGCGCATCGAGCTGCGACTGGCGCCGGGCAACGCCAGCCAGCCGGCCATCCAGCTGGTCTCCTACAAGAAGCCGCTGTTCGGCGTGTACACCCTAGAGACGATCGATCTGCACTGGGGCGACGCCGGCGGCACCCACGGCTCCGAGCACGCCATCAACAAGGAGTTCTTCGACGGCGAGGCTCAGTTCGTCTTCTACAACAACTTCTACGAGAGCATGGCCAAGGCGCGGCGGCATCCGGGCGGCATCGCCATCGTCAGCGTGCTGCTGAGCGGGTCCTCCGCGGCAGCAGGAGAGGCCGCGTTCCCCTCTCTCGGTCTGGAGCAGCAGCTGGACGCGCTGGCGGCGCGCGGCAGCGAGGTCACCTTCGCCGCCGACCTGACGCCCGTGCACGGCCTGCTCAGCAAGGCGCTGACCCGCGTGCTGGCCTACTACGGCAGCCTGACCAGTCCGCCGTGCAACCCGGTGGCCACGTGGCTCGTGTCGGCCGAGCAGGTGGACGTCAGCGCCCACCTGCTCTACGACCTCGCCACCAAGGTGTACGAGGACAGGCAGAAGCAGAAGCGGCTGGTGAACAACTGGCGGCCTCTGCAGGACCGCAGCGGCCGACTCGTCACGCAGCTGGAGAACACCAAACCCTGAGCGGCGACCGCCGCCGCCCCTTCCTCTGGGGCACCGGCGACTGACGCCTCCGGCCCGACGAAACTCGGACCTGACACTGCCGAGACTCGAACCCTGGTCCGCCGCGACATGTGCTCGGCTTTGTCAACAGTCGGTTTTCATTTGTTTGCGCCCTGAGATGACCCCACAAATAACGGGCAGTCGCAGATACAGGGTGCAAAAATCTGAAAGCTCCTGGGCCCGAGGGCTAGGCACGAAAGCAATAATAGCAGATGCCATTTAGACATGCTGCAATGGCCAATTCGTATCGAGACATTATCCGGCGTTAAGCAATGAATTGATATGAATTGAATTGATAGGGACGCTGCTAGATGTTATTTGAAGGCACACTGATATGTAGACATACAAAGATAAGGGATGGGTGTGTCGGAATGAAAATCTGCTCGATAACAGTGTGAAGTATCCGACGCGCACGAGACGTCAGTCGCTGCAGGAGGGTGTTGTCGTTGTATACCTATATGATGATAAAAGACGAAAAATATATCATAATAATGACAGACGACTATGATTTCACTACAAAAAAATGAACAACCCAATATAGCGGTGTAACAAAATGCCGTCATTTTGTTTACTCACAATATCCTCATCCCATGCACTCTCAAGTGCGCTAAGCCTCTGCCAACAATTCTTCATACATGGCCTTAACAATATCGCGAGCTGTCGTGTTCTGAAAGATCTCCTGCGGGCGATACCCGAACAGGAACAGGTCCTGAGGGTGAGGCTCCCATGACCCATGGTGCGGGCCAAAGAAAATATTATATGTGCTTAAAAAATCACTTCCAAAACCAGCACAGTCTGTTTTGTGACTGAATGATGAGGAGAGAAGGATTGGACGGCACCGAACCCAGGCAAGCGTAAATTAGAACGACTCAGATAGGTACTCAAACAAACGCTATCTTTAAAAGTTAACTCGACACGCCACGCTACCCATGGTAGTTAAATCACAGCCGTAAGTAAAGATAAGTGTGTAAGAAAATACACACGCAAACAGTTTCACACGTTTAATTTTTTTAATTTCAGAGTTATTGTCTTACGTGTGGGGAAGGGGGTGGCTGAGGACCTAGTCCGAGGTCATTCATCCCAAACTTGCCTTATTTTCATTTTTCAAATGGTAGCCCTCCAAAGTTCGATCCGCCTGCTGCTCGGAACTTCTACTGCTTCCTCTACCGAGCATAGTGCAAATCAATAATCATCATCTTCCTACATCGATAGCGTAATTACTATATTGTGGAAAGATAGTCGGGAATTGGACAGGAGTCTATCTCTCTCTCTCTCTCTCTCTCTCTCTCTCTCTCTCTCTCTCTCTCTCTCTCTCTCTCTCTCTCTCTCTCTCTCTCTCTCTCTCTCTCTCTCTCTCTCTCTCTCTCTCTCTCTCTCTCTCTCTCTCTCTCTCTCTCTCTCTCTCTCTCTCTCTCTCTCTCTCTCACACACACAATCCATCTCTAATTTCCACATCCATTTCTGTAGTCAATGGTTAGGATTTGCATAGTCGACAATGCATCTCACCTTGAATATCTAAAGATTGATGAACCATGTGCATTGTGCATCACTGAACAGAGAGCCCGCCATTCGGCTCGCCGTCGTACGGTATCCCACTGCAAAGTGCAAGTCACCGTGCTATAACAACGTGACACGTATCGAGAGCCGTTACTGCTCGCACGCCAATAGGTATGTGCTTTGCATATCGTGCATTATGCATATTGTCGTTGCATATTGATAGAAATGTGGCACAGAGCTGTCAATCGTGGCCACAGAACTGTGAATCGTGGCCACTGAAACTCAGCGGTCACTGACCTCGTGGCCGCTGACTCAAGCAGGACCAATGGCCGGCAACGGAGGCTGGAGTTGCCAAGCACTCTACGGTGTCCCCGTCGACAACAGCCGCTCTTATACAGGGTGTTAAAAAAGAAACGAGACGATAAAGAATCGTTATATTTCGGAAAGATATTATTATACTAGGAGAATCATGAATGTGTAATTCAAAAGAGAATTGTTGAAAAAATTTATACGCAAGAATTCGACGCTTCCATTCGCCAGGTGCTAGAAAAGCACCCCCTGGGATTATGACACTTCTCCGCCCCTGATGGTACGCCGATGTTTTTTTTTTTTTTTGTCCGGCACGAATTATGACCATGCCACATGCAAACATCTCGTGCCAAAAAAAAAGATTATCTTCACAAAAAGTTAGCAAACCCATGACAATAAGGACTTTCAATAACATATTTTTTGGAAAAGACTTTTTCGAGAATGGGAGATTAATATCGATCAAACCAATGGCAGCATTGAAACTCTTGCTCGTCTCTCAACTGATTCAATAACGTCGAATGACGCCGGATGAGAGATCAAGTTTGCCAGCTTAAAAATAGTTTTTGGGGGGCACGAGATGTTTCCACGTAGGTAATACGTGCCCGACAATAAGAACCGACGTAGCATAAAAACACTTTCAACAACTCTCTTTTAAATGACATATAAATAATTTTCCTAGCATGATCACTCTTCGAGTTATAACGATTCTTTATCGTCTCGCTTTTTTTTTTAAACACTCTGTACTTATCAACGGAAAAGCTCGCGGGAGGTGGCACTGACACCTCATCGATTAGGTATGCTTGAAAATCGTGACGGACATCATGTAGGTGAATTTTGCAGCAGCTTTACGGTTCATCATTCCGCTGCATACGTAATGGCTATCTGATATTACCGGTAGTCGGTTCGGACCGGACCAAGAGGTGGCGTGGGTCATCGTCCTGAACTCCTGACCGCATTCTAGACTCGCGGCAGGATACCGGAGAGGGCAGATAACTTTTCTTTTTGCAATATACACATATCGGTCAGGGCATTTTAAGACTGATTGGCACAAAGTGACCTCAACTCACCTAACGAATGCCGCGAGAGTTTTGCACGATGAGATCGGTGACAGTGAGGGACTAGGCATTACGGCATTATCGAGTTGACTCACATTATTATTAGTACATACGCGTATTGTTATAAATTGGAAAGGCAATGGGAACATGCTGTTTTTATACTGAAATTGGTTACACATGTGTTTCGGGAATAATCCCTCGATCACACAATATAAAATAGCTATATATCCAAATGCAATCGAGGTCGAACGAGGTTGTACGAGGTCGAACAGGGCTACGTTCGACCTCGATTGTATTTCGATATAGCTATTTTTATATGGCCTGTGATCAAGGGATTATTCCCGAAACACATGTGTGACCAATTTTAATATAAAAAACACGTTCCCATTGCCTTTCTCTGACTGGCGTTAGCTCAAACCGTATAATGGAGATACATGTAGCTCAATCCGTTTAATGGCTAAGGACTGGTACTGGTGGCCTGCGTAATGGAGAGCACGAGCACAAAGGAAGACAGCTGTCCAGCTGCAATATAAACCCAGCTTGTTTCGCATGTGAATTTAAGAAATCTGTTGTAAAGTACATATGTAGACATGGCCGAATAAGGTAATCGATAAAGTAAAATTGACAAATAAAAGTAGGTATATTATAAAAACCGTCGAACATCAATAAGACAAATAAAGCAATGTTAGCTGCGCAGTTGTTCGTTCGTATCTCTCTGTCACGACGGTCACGACCTAATTGCACATTTTTATAGATCTCGTGATAAAGCATGAGCTACTTTCAACACAACGTACCTCTCATATCTAAACAAAAGAAATGCAAAGAAATGCACACGTCCTACACCATACCCTTCTTCAAAACAATATCCTCCCCGTATAGGCCAGATGATCCAGTAGAGAAAATACATTGCTTCACTTGCTACTCAACGCTTCAGATAGTCTAACAACAATTGATGCGAAGAAGAAGGCAGGGGGAAACAACACCGTGGCACCTATCACCTATTGCGAATTCTACTGACAAGACGAGGTGAAGCTAGCACACGACAGCGCGTAGCGCGCTGTACGGTTGTATGTACCAATACCAGGCGGCCGACCCGGACACAAGCTTTTAGACCATGGTCATGCCAGAGAAATAAGCGTGAGGGATAGCGTGCCGACAGGAATTACAGCCAATTACGCAGTAACATAGGCGAGCGACACAGGGCAGAATCACACAACGCACGGACCGCACTATTCTAGGCACTGCATTGCACTAAGACTATCACCAGGATCTCGCACAGACTAACGCTGCTGCTCCGCTTACGGCACAACCTGCGCCGCAGTGAGGGCGGCGCCTGCACAATCAGTCTCGAGGCACCTACCATCAGTCCCACCGCGGGCGGAGGCAATCACTGCATCACTGAGCTATAGCGTTCGCAGCAACTGGTCGCAAAGGCCGCACGAAATCCACACCGAGACGCTTCATCCATTAGGCGCGAGAACATGTCCGTGGCAGTCAGTGAGACGGCATCTTAGCGACGAAAGCGCGATGGTGGTGGTCTCGTCTCGTGGTCGGTGAGCGGGGAAGTCTGTCAACTGAGGCGCATCACTCCAGGGCGATACCAGAACCGAGTCCCAGATGCCAGTTACTCAGACCGCTTGCTGTCAAACGGTGCTGCCAAAACTCCTTCACAAAGCTGCAGTCAGCGGCAGCAATGCGCAATCCTTCTCTTTCAGCTCCTCTTCAGCTTCTCGTTCTGTTATTCAGCATAAATATACTTTCATGCAATCTCCCATTCTTCAAATTCAAATTATCCTTAATGTTTTCATTGTCAAATAAAAATAAACGGGATCCTTAACCGTTGCCACCAAATGAGACATGGCCGAATAAGGTAATCGATAAAGTAAAATTGACAAATTAAAGTATACTAGAGGTACAGGTTTACGCGATAACTGTATGTTTTGATTTATGTTATGTTACGGGTGCATTTGTTTGGGTGATTGACTTGCATTTTTAGATGTATTATTTGGATAGATTTGGGCAGCTGTTTTTAATTAAACTGTAAGGGTTGGTGATAGGTGCGGAGTGTTCAAGTGTTTTGTATGTTAGGCACTTTTTGAA